GATCTGGAAATTTAAAATGAAGATAAAAAGATAATAAAAACTCAAGAAATGGAAAAAGGAAGGTTAATACTTGGACAGTATTATTTGTATAGAGTTTCATACAGAACAAACTTTGAAAAATGTATTCCTCTATTGTATGGAGGACTATTAACTCAACAATTTTTGAACATGCATACATTATGGTAGAGAGTAATAGAATAAATTTGTTCGGAAATAATAAGAACAATAAAAATAGAATGTTACCAAGAACTATTGAATCATGTTATAAATAGCGCTTCAAATATTTGAAAAAATTTCGAAACTAATAATTTTTTACTACTTTATTTTACTTTCAAAATATATCGGCGGTTCTAGATATATGCAGCAACATTATCAAGACGTTATGGCCATTATGAAAAAATTCAAAAAACGTGATTTATTTGTAGCAGTTAGGTATAACCCACAATAAAAGGAATTAGAAGAGATTTTTTTTTAATTTTCTACGGGAACAACTCCTAACGACGTTTGTAACATAACTGTTTCTTTTATTTCATGAGAAATTACAGTCAATTTTAGATGATATTATTAAAGATATTTTTGGTGAAGATGTTGCATATGTTTATACAATCGAATTTTTAAAAAAAAGATTATCTAATGCCCAAATTCTAGCTTCATAACATCCACATAACACCCAAACAACAAATTCATAATAGCAGAAAATTTAGATAAACATATATCAGCTGAAGTTGTAACTGACAATATAAAAGTAAAGAAATTGATTATGAAACACATTATACATAGACCTCACAATAGAAACACTCCTTGTTACAATTTAAGCAAAGAAATAAGTAAAAAAAAAGATTCTAAAACAACTATGTTTAAAAACTACCTTTAAACAAGATAGAAATCTTAAATATACAACAAAAGAGGGTCCAAGTAATAATCATAATTATAAAATTAGAGACGGTAACAAAAAAAATCCTTGTTGATAATTCAATGGTTGTTCCTAATAATAAATACTTACTAAAAAAATACAACTGTCACAAAAATGTAGAATGTTGTGCTTCTGTCCAAAGATTTGAGTATATTTTTGATGACATTCACGAAAGTAAAGACAGGGCTTTTTGTAAAGTATAAAAAGGAAACAAGTCTAAAAATCTTGAAACAAAAATGAAATGAATCAATAAGTTGATGGACGTTGCTTAAGTCCCATGGAAGCAACATAGAGACTTCAAGAATTTCCTCTTTGAAGTAGAAGTCGTTTAGTATTCTATTAGCCAGTTTATTTAGAGAATAAACAAAAATTAATTTTTGAAGAAAGTAAGGTAGAGAAGTCTATTTATAATTCAAAAACTTCTTTGACAGCATAGTTTGATCCAAACAAAATAAATAATTTTGAAACATCTATAAGTTACGTTAACATTCCAGAATATTACATAATTTATAATTAANAAAAACAGCAGCATTAACGTGGGAAGAAAATAGTACAATTCAAAATTCGAGGGAGCACGAGTATACGTATTTACTCCGCCCTTGCCTACATAGCCGTATACGTATACATATGTCGCTTCGTGAAATGTATACGTATTGAATTTATTAAAATTTCATCATTCGTTTATTAATTCATTCATCTTTTCATCTTTTATAATTATTATTCGATTCCTGATATTAATTACCTGTCCCCCGGGTTATCTGGTTACGGTCTGTTGGGATTTATGTTTTTGCTGGATATTTATATCTGGCTTTCTATTATTTTTCAATGAATAATTATTTATTTCAATGAATAACTTGCAATTCATAATCTATAAGTCCCCTGGGTTATTTGGTTAAAGTTGTTGGGTTTTTGTGGATTTGGGCGTATAGCGCACTTTGGGATTTTTGAACTGCCCGCTGAGGACTGCGCATACTCGGGTCCCAGATGCGCACTGCGCAGTCTCGGGTCACTTGACGCTTTCGGGTCGGTTGACACTATCCCGCCTTGGGGCCCGGAAGTGGGTCACGCGCGAGCGAGTGAACAGGAGGATCGATAGAGTACGAAATATATATATTAACCATATAAGTACAATCCATGCAGCGGTGTGTTGCATATGCTTTTGTGTATTAACGTGGGTTGCAAATGCACGCAGCCGGGACGCGTCATCGTCGAGGATTGCTCCGAAATGTGTGTGGCGATGTAGGTGCACTTACAATGTGCGGTTTTTTTTTTTTAGTTTTTATTGCCGATCTGCGATAAGGCCGGTAAGGCCGGTCTCCCGTTTGCTCGAGTCATCCGCGCGCGGAATTGGATTGGAGGGCTTCAGGAGCAGCTCCGAAAATAATACCTATACTTGTGTGTACTCGTACTGCATATTTTATGTTGTTATGTTGTTAGATGCGCGCGCGCGGGCGTTGTTGTTTGTTACTTGTCAGGCTATAGTACTATACTCGTAAAGTGTACGTTTATTTATCAAACTGCATGTAACTTATGATGTTATCCTTGGGTCAGCGAACTTTAAGCCATACCCGGCTTATATTTTTTATTCTCTAATGTTTATTGATTGATTATCAATTTCTACGTTCGTTGCAATTGTTTGGCTTTGACGATATCACGTAAAGCGAACAAGTGTCAATCGAAACACTTTATTTGAGAGATAAAACACCCGAGAACGAGCACAAAATAAAGAAGCTGATGCAACTATTTTTTCGTCAATGAAACATGGACCCTGCGCCTTTGTCAAGTGGTATACATTATTTTGAATTATTTCAACATCAACATCGAGGTTGCGTTTTTTTTTTTCTTCAAATTAAGCTGAGAGAGTTAAATATAATACGTATTCTCTTGGCCATCAAAAGAGAGCAAGTAAAGCCCTAAGACCAAGAGAGCCAAATCGATGAAATGTATACATGTTCGAAAATACACAATACCTATATTAGAAATACGTTAGTATAATAAAAGAGGCAGCCGTCATTTATAATATATAAGATGAGGCGCATGAGGTTCGATAGCAGACACTTTGGCGGCAGCAGACAGCGCATAGTTACAAGCTTCGATTGCGCCTATGCTCTCGTGCGGTTACGCAATGCGCCGCGGATATATAAACTTAATGCTTTGGGCCTGCACGAAAATAACGACGATGAAGACGGGCACGAGGAAAATAGTACAGGAGGTAAGAAAACGAGAGCGCACGGCCAAGCCGAGCATATGCAGCGAAGATGAGAAAAGAAAAAAAAAAGAACATCAGGTTCGCGCGTGTGTGTATAACATAAAAAAAAGATCAAGTAGCAGGTAGCAGGTGTATATTATGATGTTAAGGTAGATAACGCGTAGGTAAGAAAAACGCTAGAGCACGCCGTGTGCGCGTTAAAATACAAAACAGTGGTAAGTATAGCAGTAGCAGGAAAAATTGTAGGTAGGCACGTCCCCTAGGTTACTCACCCCATAAACCAGTCGACGGTATCGCGAAGGTACTCCGGGAGTCTGTCCAGCTTGCCTGATTTCGCGGGCCAGAGAGCACCGCAGCCTCCGGTTGTTCCTACTGCTCGCCGCTGTGATAGCTGGCTCCTCCAGGGGGGTAGCTGATGCTGCTGCTGTTGCTGGCCAGTGGCGACACAGCTGGACTGGATTGCAGTTGATAACCTAATAATGACGACGACGGCGATGATGATAACGATTCGGCTAGACTACAACTTAATTGGGCTGTTGGCTATAATAACAGCAGCGACAGACTCGGGGGTGACGATAATGATGATGATGCGGACGACAGCGAGCGGTCCTCGGCACACGGCACTGCAGCGACGACGATCCGCGCCGCCGCTGCTGCTGCTAATGCTAGCCTCTTAGTCGTCGTAGTTGTGCAGGACGTGGTGTCCGATACCGCAGTCCGTATGAGTAGCAATCGAGGAGGACGACGGTGATGAGGAGGCAGCTCCTCGGTCCAGAGCCGCCTCATTGCCCGGCAAGTCGCCACTCGCTGCAGCTGCTGCAGCTCCGCGGACCTGCACAGCCGATGCTCCTATGGCCGTCGTCGTCGTATAGTAGTTGCTCACCACTGTGTTTTATACAGTGTTATATCTCTCTTTCTCCCCTCTGGCGAAAACTCGACTTTCCGTTCTCTCAGCTGTACATCACACCCTGCAGCAGCTGCTGCCCCACGGCACACACTACCAACTTTTTACGTATAATCTATCTCTTCTTGTGGCTTTCACACTTTTTTTTTTTTTTTGCATATACACTCACATAGGTGAATATACACGCACTATTATCTGCGCTATTGCCGCTTATTGGCACAATGGCACCTACATGGCCAAGCTACATAAATAAACCCGCACACTTTACTGTTCTATCTCTCCCATGACAGTCCCATCTGATGATGCACAATATGCTCTCATGCAAAATTGCGATTCCGCGTACTAGTTTCGGACAGTATCATATCGGGCCATGTTAATTGTTGTTGGTTCTGCATTATCGGTAGAGTCACAATCATCGGTATGGTAGAAAAACCTGAAAATTGTCTTTATCGACAGACGGTATGAATCTGACAAAAGATACATAATTGTTAAACCGCGAAATTCAAATTCCTTAAATCATTCATCGCATTATAAAATAATTATAAATAAAAATATAAAGATAAAAAACTATCGCATTATTGTTAATAGTTGTCTATTGAACATACATAGTTAGCTATAAAACAATTTAAGTGTTCAAATTTACGAATTATGTATATGTCCAATTCTCAAGCTATACAACACAGATATTATTGATGTTGAACAACATTAAATCGATCTTGTGCAGTGTGTTATCATGCACAGATGAAAGTACTTAAAATAACAATTAATATATACAAAAATTGTATATGATTTGTATACAATCAGATAACGAACAATCGTGTGTAGGCCTTTTTAAATATAAATCGGTAATATTCAAGTGATTAGATGGCGCGTGTTGTATACACGACAAGATCGTTAACTTAACCAACGCCGTGTCACAATAACCCGACTTTTTATTAATCTTTGATAGCGCAAATCAATAGGATTTCGAGAGAATGGAGTCCGCGATAGAATTGAGGAGTAGAAAAGGCACGTCAGCGCGAAAACGCAGCTATTACTCCGAACTCGTTAGCACCAACCATGCCCCCGATGGTAAGTTTGTATCATTAATTTTGTTTCCCCTCTGCACCGAGAGCGATATTATTAAAGGTAAAATAAATATTGTTTCTTCAACAGACTAAAAGAGATTTTACTTAAAATTGATACTAAACAAAGCTTAAGGTAAAACATCATTTTTCGATTTGAAGACTTTTGATAATATTGTTTGTGACACATTAAAAGAAACAGCTATTACTATGAGATAAGTAAAAATTATCTACAAATTGACAATATTTTTGAAAGAGCTAGTGATGGGATGTTACCGTTTTAATATCGTAATTTTTTTTGAAAGGTTCATTACATCCGAAATTTTTTAAAAAAGTACGATTCGGCTGAAATATAAAAAAATTTTCCATTGCAAATTGTAAGGGTAATGAAACTACGGTTCTTTTAAACTTAAATAAAATTTTTAGTTGTTATGAGAAATCTTGCGTGGATTTTGGTTTACTAAAACCAACCACAAAGAAAAAAAATTCTGTTAACGACACAATTCAAAGTGAAATTTACAAATCAAAATTTAATGAAATGTTTTCAAAGTTAATAATGATCAAAAACTTACTTTCGAAGAAGTTACAAAATTTAAAAACAAAATTTTTTTCATTGACGGTCTTGGGAATTCTAGTAAAACTTTTTTTATACAAAACGTTAAAATATTATTTTATTCTCATGAACAGAAAAATTTTATCTATGGATTGGACTGGTATAGATTCTATTTTATTACCAAAAGGAATTACGAGCCACAAAACTTTTGGATAACCATTGGATTGAAATTCAATTGAAAGTGCTTTTTCAGAACTAGAATCCGATAAAAAACAAAATTACGTGAATTGGATGTCATAATTTAGGACAAAGATTCTATGATACCAAAAGAAGCCTTAGAAATAGTTGATACAACTTTGAGAGATTTGTATAATACAAACACACCATTTGAAAACAAACTAATTTTTTCAAGAGGTTAATTTCGTCAAATTCTGCCTGTAGTTAAACACGGTAATAAATTTAACATAATAGAAGAGACTATTAAATACTGAAAAATTTGGTATTTTTTATAAATATAACATTGAAAAACGAATATTAGATCAATAGACAAAAAATTATCGTCGTTTTTAATGGATATTGCTAATGAAAAAAATTGTTGTTTAAAATACCTGAAAAATGAACAACAGACGATGTATGTTCTAAAATTATTAGTATTGTTGATAGTTCTTTAATAAATAATGTAATGTTAACGTCCCATAATGAATACACCTATTTTTTAAACAACAAAATTTTAGAAAACATGAAAGGAGAATAAATAACTCATTATAGCATAGNAAAAAAACAACTTCTTAACAATCAACGAAAAGGAGCTTGCGCCGATCAGCCGCTCACGAGGGCACCAAAGTTAAAAATAGCCCCGCGCGAAGTCATGTCGTCGTGGCGTGCTTTCCGCGTCAACAAACCATCATCGTCCGGGCCGATGCTTCGCGACAATTCGCCGGGAAATACCAGCTGCGGCGCGTCTGCTGACGTGGCAGCCAACGAGCCCTGGGTGACCTTGGGCCAGGAGCCGTCTATCGTAAAGAGCCGCCAAAGCGCGCACACGTGATGGCCATCAAAATACACGATATTGATATTATGGGCTCTTTGGGTATATTCCGATGTTGTGTCTACGTGAGCGCAGGTGTTCGCGAGGGAAAGTTTCGCTCCGAAAGTGCAGATGCCGGTCGAGGCGGAGCCACGACATTTGGTGCGCAACGTCGAAACGGAGCGAAGGCGTAGGCTTTACCGGAGCTTCGAACTCGAGGTGCTCTTCCGCGAGGCAGGAATTGAGCCGCCGAGCGTCGTTTCGGCCCATCACTACCTGCCACTCGAACTGTTCGACGACAAGGAGTACGATTGCAGGCAGGCATCAACCAAATGATTTTTTGCGATTTTGGGTTTTATAGGTGCACGGTGACCGTTAAAAATTAGAACGGTTGTTGCCATTTACAATTTTTAAAGGAAAAGCAAATTTTCTTCTCGGTCACAAGGATATACAAGGGACACTTCTACCTTTTTAAAAATTTCAATGCAATTAATATCCATTTGTTGTTTAATAAAAAAGGGAAATGGTCGCGTTGGATATTTTATTCTGCACAATGACTGTAATTAGTCTATTTCTTCAACAAAACACTGATTTCTCCTCAAACACCACCGATCTCACGAATGAAAAAAAAAAAAGGACGCCTGCCGAGTGGCTCGATCTGGGATTAGTCAGGGGCAAGCGGTACCCCACACCGGCCGAAGCATTAGTCCCCGAAGAGGTGACGGGCGAAGCTCGATGGCAGCCCGTCGCGGTCACTCAACACGACGCAATTACCAATCTCTACCAGCTCCTCACCTTGGACGGTACGCGCCGTATATTCCACTTGCCCCGGGTCTTTGTGCGCTTTTACGCCGAGGATCCTCGAGTCTTCGTCAAAAGGGTCGTCGCTGCCCTGCAGATGAGGATCGAAGCCGAAAACGGCTTGAGGTGCGTTGCAGTTGGCTGAAATCGGCGTGAATCCACTGGTTTTTCGTTACGTTTCACAGACACAGCCTCGAGCTCGACTGTATGCCGTACGATGGTATCGAAGCACTGAGCGACGAGCAAAAGTCGAAGATCCAGCTCTCGGCTGTGCGGCAGGACTCGCCTTTCAAGCCCGACTCGATCTCGGTCAGCTGAAGCACTTGACGATATATCCATTTATCATCCAATATAATGTGTACTCGTCATTTACAAAAAAAAAAAAAAAAAAAAAAAACCATCTCAGGCGGTGATGCGGGAGATCGAGAGGAACTACCAGCGGGTGATGTGCGACCTTGAGTGCTCGAGTTCGATCCGATGCCGTCGTCCCGATTCGTGGAGTCAAATGGGCAGGACAAATGTCGATCCACAGTCACCCGGACCACCTAGTCCGAAAAAACGCGAACCATCGAGAATGAAAAACTTTTCGGTACGTCGGAAAACATATATGTTTACTTACACTTGTTCTCGACAACGCCAAACGAAGCGTGGATCCCCCAGGGTATCAGAGACTACGTGAAATGGAAGACCCTGTACGTGCACGTGGAGGTCTACGAGGCCATGGCCTCGATCGTAAACGCATGCGACCAGGCTGCCAATGTCACGTTGTTCCCGACAGAGCGTGGCAAACCGGTGCCGATCGAGGAATTCAACGAGCTTCAGTTCTGCGGGACCAATGCGGCGATAAGCTGGCTGAGGAAGCGGTGGCTCGAGATCATGGAGCGGAGCACGAGAATGCACCTGCGGGACATGGGCAAGGGCCACTATGACCTCGATCTCGGCCAGCACGACGTGTACGAGGGCACGAAGCTCTGCCGATTTTTCGAGCTCACCAGGCTACGCATGCAGGTGCGGGTGGATTTTTCACGCGCATACACTCGTACTCCATCTTCCGATTTTCTCAGACCTCCTTGCGGACCCTGATCGAGAGCTCCTCCCTGGCGTACCTGGTCTACCTGGAGACGCCGACCCTCGGAGTTGTGGACCAGAAGCTCGACGGGAGCTTCTCGTGGCCCAAGGACCTCAAGAGCGAGCGATTTTTCCACGAGGCGCCCATCTTTCTCCTCGAAATCGAGCTTGGCGAGAGCAGCGCTTTCTACACGACCGACCCCCGCGTGTTCCAAGTTTCGATCGTTCCGACGCCCGAGTTCTCCACACGCGTTGGCTTACCATCCGATCCCTTTCCAGGAAATGCTGGTCTCCCTGTACACCCAAGCGCTAATGGACTGCCAGAAAATCGGCCAGGTTCACCCCCGACTCCTCGAGAACTTGAAGTTCCCGAGGAACCTGTGGATCGAGTCCGTCGACTTGGAAGAGCCTCTGCCCACCGAGGTCCGTAAACGCGTCCGGGAAGCTTACCAGGCCTCCGTCGTCCCTCTGCAAGCGTACGTAAAGATGTACGATCGGTACTGTCCGCTATTCACTCTCGATCCCGCCAAATACGCCGAGTGAGTCAAATCGTTGCGTCACGTGGGTGTATTTTTCGCAAAAACACAATCACTCGTCCAAACTTGGTCAGGGACTTTGTGAGCTCGGAGCACCCGCCGTCCGAGCTGAGGGAGGAGATCTTGTCACAGCAATCGCTAAAGAGGTCCCTGGAGGCAGAAATCCCGGAGAGCCTGGTCATCGGCGCCTTCGAGGTCAGCGTGTACAAGCTGAAGAACCTTCTGACGGACAAGCGGCAGCAGATGGTCGATTGCTTGCTCGGCAGCCACGCGAGCCGCCTGAGGACACTGACCGAGGACATACTGGTTGGCTTGAGAGCCGTGTACACGAAGCTCGCCGTCGAGCCGGCCGACATCGAGCAGCTGCAAGAGACGCGCGAGTGGATGGAGAGCCTGAACGTGGTGGTTGCCGAGTACATGGACGGCATGCAGAGGCTCAAGCCCGAGTACGACCTCCTTGACGCGTTCTGCTGGAGTTTGCCGGACGAGGACACCCAGTCGAAGTTCGAGGCCGCCCGGCTGCCCTCGCTCATTCAGCATCGGGTGGGTTATTCGCTCGATTTTCCTTCGTGCGCAGCTGTGCAATATGATTGGTTTTCTCTCGCGCAGGAGCTGGAGACGCAGGAGACTCTGGCCTTCCTTCAAAAAGACACCTTCTACAAGCTCCAGTTGGAGGACGAGAGTGCAACCGCCGAGAAAATCGACGGCCTGATCGGCAGCGTGTCGAACGTCATGATGCAAAAGGACGTCGGTAAAGTCCAAGAAATCGCGGTCGAGGTCAAGAAGCTGTGGGCGTCGATGAAAGAGACCGAGGACTTTGGTTTCGTGCTCAATTCCCGGCAAAAGCTGTTTGGCGTGCCCGTGCGGCCCTTCCGGAATCTGACCAAGTTGATCAAGAACTTTGAGCCGTACAAGAGCTTCTGGATAACCAGCGCTGGTTTGCTCTCTCTCTCTCTCTCTCTCTTACCCATGTCGATTGTATATATATTTTTACGTAAAGAGACGTTTGCAATCGTATAATTTCTTTTGCAGAGTGGTTCAAGTGGTACGACGTATGGATGTACGAGCCTCTGATGGGTATAGAGAATGGACAGATAGAGGCTATCGTCAACGAGTGGCACAAAACCATATCGCGGTGCGTCAAGCTCTTCCAGGACATCCAAGGTAACCAGTACATCCGTATGGGAGGGGCATAAAAATTGCAGTGGCTAAACGACTTTTTGTAATTACAGACCTGTCGGCGTTGGCTAACGACGTGAAGGAACAGATAGATAATTTCAAGCCATACGTCGGGGTAATCCAAGCACTCCGCAACCCCGGCATGAAAACTCGACACCTGGAACAAATCAGCAACAAAGTCGGTATGAACGCATCAGAGATGTCCGAGCTGACCTTTGCGGACCTACTGTCACTGGATATCATGCGCTTCGAGGAGGACATAAAGGATATTTCGGAGGGTGCCGCCAAAGAGTATGCCATCGAAGAGACCCTGAACAAGATGATAGCCGACTGGGCCACGCTAAAGGTCGAGGTTGCGCCCTACAAAGAAACCGGTAGCTACGATTTTTCTTCCAGCCCTTTTTGACCGGCTCTATTGTCATATCGCTTCGTTGTCCGTTTCAGGGATGTACATTGTAAGGGTCTCCGATGAGCTGCAGATTCTCCTGGACGACCACATCTTGAACACCCAGCAACTAAGTTTCAGTCAGTTCAAAGGCGCGTTGGAGGGCGAGATCGACGACTGGTACTCGAAGTTGTGCCTCACCAGAGAAGTCATCGTCGAGTGGCTCGAAGTCCAAAAGTTAGTTGTACTTCCAATGCTCGGAGAAGCAAAAAAAAAAAAAAAAAAATAATAATCGGGTCGTCACATTCGCAGGCTCTGGATGTACCTCGAGCCGATTTTCTCGTCGGAGGACATAAGTCGCCAGCTGCCGACCGAGGCGAAAAAGTACAACTCGATGGAGCGCAATTGGCGGCGCATAACGAAGCAAGCCCTCGACAACCCCACGGTACCACATACTCTGCTGACATGGGTCTATAAATTAAATATAGTTGTACGGAGAGTAGGTAAGTAACGAAGACGCCCTCGCAGATAATGCAGCTGTGCCCGGACAGGACTCTGCTGGAGAGCCTGCGCGAGTGCATGAGCCTCCTTGAGACGGTGCAGAAGGGCCTGTCGGACTTCCTCGAAAGCCGAAGGCTGATATTCCCCCGGTTCTTCTTCCTGAGCGACGACGAGCTGCTGTCGATGCTGGCCGAGGCCAAGTCGCCGCGCGCCGTGCAGCCGCACCTGAAGAAGTGCTTCGAGAACATAAAGGAGGTGCGCTTCGCGGAGACGGAGGCAGCGCGGATAACGCACATGTGCTCGGCCGAGGGCGAGGAGGTGGCCCTGGAGCCAAGTCCCCTCGAGCCTCGGGCTGCGGTCGAGTACTGGCTGGGCGAGCTGGAGGACGCGATGAGGGAGACGCTGCGCTGCTGCGCCGAGAGGGCGCTCCACAGCGTGGAGAAACTGCCGCGCCGCCGGTGGATCTTCCGCTGGCCGGGACAGGTGGCCCTTTGCATCGGCCAGGCCTCCTGGACCAGCCACGTCGAGCGGGCCATCGCGACCTCGAGTCTACCCAACTACTTTAGAGTCTCCATCAGCCAAGTATATGCGCACAGAGGTCCTGTTGTATGCTCATTGGGACTGCTCATGTGTTTGCTTTTCGTTGATGATGTACAGCTCGACGAGCTGCGCGAGCTGGTGCGCCAGCCCCGGACCGATGTGGAGCGGCTCATGCTCGAGGCCATCATAACGATCGAGGTGCACGCCAGGGACGTGCTGCAGCGGCTCATCGACGACGCGGTGCGCGACGTCAACGACTTCAACTGGATATCCCAGTTGCGCTACTACTGGGTCATCTCGCCCGAGCAGTCTATCGGTGATCTCAAGATCCGCGCTGTCAACGCCGAGTTCCCTTACGGGTCAGAGTGTATACATATATGATTCGAGTCGTGGTGATTGGTAAATCAAAGCGAGAATATGGGATGTAAAATGGCTACGATTGGGTGTGTAGATACGAGTACCTTGGAAATAACGGCCGGTTGGTCATAACACCGCTGACGGATCGTTGTTATTTGACGCTCACGGGGGCGCTGCACCTGAAATTCGGAGGGGCGCCCGCGGGACCAGCTGGCACCGGAAAGACCGAGACCACCAAGGATCTCGCCAAGGCCCTTGCCATTCAGTGCGTCGTCTTCAACTGCTCCGATCAGCTCGACTATATGTCGATGGGCAAGTTTTTCAAGGGACTGGCCAGGTGAGCTTGGCGGAGACGGGGAAAGGGTCGATTCGGTATATGTATATAAAAGTTGAAAGCTCGTTTTAATGTAAATTTAAAAAGAAATTTCATCGAGTTGGTAGACGAGTAGTTGAGGTTCCTTTTTTCCCTGGACGATGATCGCGTAACATAATTTTTGTCAAATCTTGGTTCTCATCAGCTCCGGGGCGTGGGCCTGTTTCGACGAGTTTAATCGGATAGACGTAGAAGTTCTGTCTGTGATCGCCCAGCAGGTAATGACGATCCAGAAGGCCCAACAGCTCAACGCAGAAAGGTATATGATTGTTGAGTTCTCCGAATCGTAATAAATTGTTTTCGAGTCACACCAGAACGAGAACAAGAAAAGGCGTGACACTAGCTACTTCAATTATTTTGCACCAATCCTAGAAAGGATTTTTAACTTTTCTTTATGGATTTCATCGATTTCACGCGCGGATAGGTTCATCTTCGAGGGAGTCGAGTTGAGGCTCAGGATGTCGTGCGCGGTGTTCATCACCATGAATCCTGGCTACGCCGGTCGCACCGAGCTGCCCGACAACTTGAAGGCCCTTTTTCGACCCGTTGCCATGATGGTGCCATTGGTGCATTTGATAGGTACATCGTACAAAATACAAATAGCGGAAGCAAATAAGGATTTTTCACTATTTCTTTATGAGCGAAGAAATTCCGTTTATCCATGACAGCATTCATGTCCCTGAAAAAGTCTTACTTGCTTCCACTAAATTGATGGTTGGTTACCGAGTAGGACGGGGGGGGGGTGTTATTTATGGTAAGTTGTATACTCACCCAATCATACTTGTCCACGATAGCGGAGATATCCCTGTTCTCGTGCGGTTTTGGCCAAGCCAAGGCTCTTGCGACGAAAATCACGGCGACTTTCAAGCTGAGCTCCGAGCAGCTCAGTTCTCAAGTACTCGATACTTTTTATCTCCCGCGTATCATCGACTTTGGTTGAAATTTTTTAAATTTTCGTATACACGCAGGACCACTACGATTTCGGCATGCGATCGGTTAAAACGGTCATAGCTGTCGCTGGAAACTTGAAACGCGAGCAAAAGGACATGGGCGAGCAGCAGATTTGCTTGAAGGCGCTCAGAGACGTGAACGTCCCGAAGTTTTTGAGAGACGATTTGATCCTCTTCAACGGTATTTCGTCGTTTGAGTCGTTTACCGTATGAACAATCATTGGATTCTGAAGCAACGTTTTTTTTCAAATGCAGGAATCATTTCCGATTTGTTTCCCCAAGTTGAAGAGAAACAGATGGATTACGCGACGCTCGTCGAGGGTATTCGGAAATCGATCAGGAAAAGGGGATTGGCAGAAGTACCAAGTGTGATAGCTTTTCAACTTTTTTTTTCTTTTTGTTAAATTGATCAATCATCAAATTTATCATACCTACACTTTTCGTTCGATCGCAGCGTTTATCCAAAAAGTGATTCAACTTTACGAAACCACGATAGTCCGTCACGGATTGATGCTCGTCGGTGCAACGGGCTCTGGAAAAACCAAGGTAAGTCGTTCCTTTCTTTATTAAGGATATTATTATTATTATTATTATTATTATTGTTATAATTATTATTACTTAAAATTATCTTATCGGAAAAAAACATGATACAGATTTTTCGTATCTACAACAACACACGCGTAAAGTATGGGTGATTTTTTTTAACATATAATTGAATATATTTATTGATTTGTACACGCGCACACAACTACTATTTTGCACGAATGTTAAAAACAGTAGTATTTTTGGAGTCTTTTGAAAACGTTGCACAAGAGTTGTCGCAGGCACCTCCTGAACGTGACTCCGCACATGGAGTACAGAAGAAAATTGATGCTGAAATTCGTGTAGTAGAGAAGCATGAAAAATTGCTGAAAACACCATATCTGCGTGGGCGTGTTCCGATGCGCCAGTGTGAAGAAAAACACGCACAGCCGTATCACGTAACTGCGAAAAGGGCGTTTTTTATGTACTCGAGATAAGAAAAGGAAGAAGAAAAAAAAAAAAAAAACAATTTATTCGTGGCCAAAAACACAAACAAGAAGCCTACCTCGGTAAATTGAGTATGATGAATACCGTGCTGATGAGGAGTAGCATTTTAGTTATGCTTTGCTGGTTACGCGTGGATACGAGGTTCCGCGACGACGATCCGATTTCTGGGGAGGGAAAAAAAAAAAAAAAAAACGTCACCAACAAAAAAAAAAAAAAAAAAAAAAAAAAAAGAAAAAAAGAGAGAGACACGGAAGATCGGAAACTCACGGGTGGTGGAGGAAACCGATTTCGATATGTAATAAATTTGGCTGCCTTGTGGCACCCGCTGAGGCTGCTCCCTTGGCTCCTGGAAGCGCAAAGAGTTGCGCGAGTGATTGCTATTCTGGGAAAATTGAAACGACTGGCTCGAGGACTGCCTCAGCCCCGAGACGATCCTCCCGAGGGCGATGCTGCTGCTCTGTAAAAAAAACACTTAATCCGCGTGCCGATCACCGGAATCGTTCCATCGACCATGTAATTCTGTATACCTTGTTGAGCTCGAGGTGTCCGTTGCTGGTGGTAATGGCAGCAGTGGCGTTGGTGGTCGTGACCACTGGCCCCGAGTGTTGCTGCTGGTGGTGGTGGTGGGCAAAGAGCTTACCGAAGCGCAGCAGATTGCGCCAGATGCAGGTGTTCATGACGACGATGAGGACAATGGGCCCGACGAGGCTGACCAGGCTGTCGACGATACTGACGACGCGCATCGTCTCGAGGTACTCGAGCCTCATCTCGCACATGCTGGTCCCGTCGTCGTAGGTGACCATGCCCGCGGTGACAAAGCAATACGAGTGACTCGCGAGGGCGAGCACCACCAACGCCAGGACTATCAGTTTGGCCCGACGAGCCGTGCAGACCCGGGGCCGGCGCAGGGGATACTGGACGGCGACGAAGCGCTCCACCGTGAAGCCCACTATCAGCCACACGCTCAAGCTCCCGCAGACCGAGCTCGCGTACACCACGGCCTCGCACCAGCCGGGCTCGTTGAACACCCGCCAGCCGCAGTTCGTGTCCAACCAGGAGAGCAGGAGAGACGAGAGAAAACAAAAATCCGTGAGCGCCAGGGCAGCCAGGTAGTAACTGGAGCTCCTCGCCCGCATCTGGCTGCTCATGAAGACAAAGCCCGACAAGAGGTTCCCCACAAGACCGAAGAGTATGATCAGCGGGAGGTAGTACTCGCTGAAGAAGTTGAGCAGGTGGTACAGGCCGTAGCACTCGCGCTCGGAGGCCACCCCCCCACTGCCACTGTCGGTGCCACCTCCGTCGTAGCCGGTGTCTACCTCCTGCAGCTCGTCCTCGTGTTGGCCGGAGCCGCCGACTCGCCGGCGCGTGCGGGAGTGGCGCAGCAGCAGGCTCCGTCGGCCCCAGCCGGCCGGTATCGGCAGAAGCAACGCGAGCGGCACCATTTGGGACGATCCCTCCAGCTGCGGCGAGAGCGCGCGACCAACTGGCCACTGCAGTGCCGTCGTTTGACACTGTCTCGCGCGCCCGAAACACATATATACACCGATCCATATACATATACGTTTACCTAAGCGCGTGCCGGTTGTAAAATAGTCTGGCACGCCATTACAGTGCTACCAGGTGCTGCAGGGTGCCTTCGAGTTGCTCAAGGGCAGGGACCAGCCGAGCGGCAAGCCCTTTACCCCGGCAATCGTCCACACCGTCAATCCAAAGTCGATAACGATGGGCCAGCTCTACGGCGAGTTCGATCTCAACACTCACGAGTGGTGGGTGTATACCTATACAATACCTATACATGAAATCGGGTGAAAGATTGTTTTTTTTTTTTTTTTTTTTTTTTTTTTTTTTTTTTTTTTTTTTTTTTTTTTTTTTTTTTTTTTTTTT